GTAAGCACTGCCTAGCAACAACTAAAACATCGGTGTGTTATCAACTTTGTTCTCATCCTAAATCCAAAACACAGCCCTGTACCAGCTACTAGGAAGGAAATTAACTCTATCCCTGCCGAAACCAGGACAGTATTGCGGAACAAAATGTGGGAACTTGGGAAATTGCATGCAAGCACATAAAAGACTATCTAGCACCTGTATTTAATGATCTACATCTGTTTTGGTAAATAGGCACCAGCAGCTGATTTACATCGGCTGATAATCTTGCTTAATAGCATTAGACTGCCTAATGGTGAGTTCTCTACTGAGGCTAGTTTTATACATAAATGTCCTATTGATTTAGACTGCAGCAGAGCACGTGAGTTATGAGCTGAATAAGTCTTATCAAACCCAAGCCACTGCTGTAATTAAGGGGTGTGGCTGAGAGCTTTCCCCTTGAAAAAAGGAAGGGACAATGAAAGTTTTGTTCTTAAAGGCGGGAAACTAACACTGTTGTGGTTGTGCCTGTTTTCCCGAAATAAATCTTTCCTGCAGCTTAAAAGAGAAGTCACATTATTTTACCCAGAATTTACTAGGTGAAATTTCATGCCTGGTGCCTTGCAGATTGTACTGCGTGCTCATAATATTCCTCTTCTGGCCCTAAAACTTCTGAATACCTTCTTTTACCATCAGAATAATTAGCTTGAATGTTAGTGGGTACAATGTACCTGTACTTCAGACTGCAGGGGCGTAGGACACTGGTATCACTCAGGGCAGTAATATGTCTGACACAGTACCATACTGTGCAAAGATATTCAGATTAGTTCTGAAACAAAGCAGTTTAGGGCTACGATTGATAACAAGGTGAATACATAGTAATGTGGGATGATGTTGTGACCAAGAGAAATCAAGTGGAATGTAGAAAGAGTGTTAGCTTCTGCAGGAAGAGTGAAATGAAACTTTTGTTACTATGTTCAGCATTCCAGCTGGGGTATAGAGATCAGTGCAGGCCCTCACCTGTTAAGGGGGTGGACCAGTTGGGGAGTGTTGAGAGGAAAATAGTAGGCTATAGAAAAGCACCTGCAAGGAAATGTTGAAAGAACTGTGGTTGTTTAGGCTGAGAAGGATGTGGGAGGTACTCCATCCTGTTCACTTGGTTGATAATGCAAGAATGAAGAAGCTTAAATTTCACCCAGGAAGATAAAACTGGACTGTAGGGAAAGTTTTTGGAATTTAAGGAGCGGGTAATAGTGTGGGGAAGGGCATAGTATCTCCACCTTGGAGGCCTTCAAGAATGTGGTTGGTTGGTAAATGTCTGGAAGAAATGATGTGATTGCATGTTGTCTTGCCGTTACCTGGAAGAAGGCCCGACTGAGTTTAGGAAATTATTTTCTTATTTCTTTGTTTTCTTTTGATTTCTTTACTTTCTTACTTTTGGTTTTTTTTGTGGCATCTAAACTATATTTGACCTGCACAATTCAGTCTGCTGGGAGAGCCAGTGGAACATCGAGGGCCCTATATGCTGACCGGACCCATCCCACAGGGAAGTCTGCTGCCTCCCTGGGGCCCGGGTCAGAGACATTACTAGGAAACTCCCTGGTCTGGTACGGCCTTCTGACTACTACCTGCTG